TTTGAACTCAGGTATGCTTTTTGTCTAACATCCTTTCTATAGTCTAAAATACATATTAAATAAACAGTAAGTAATGTCATTAGCAAAAAACTAAAATAAAATAGGAAATGTGCATTAAAATGAAGTATAACAACCACATTTATTTAGGAATGTATTCCAATATCAAGTGACAAATTTCAACAATGCAAAAACCGCAATTACTTTTGCACCAACCTAATACAGTTCAGGGAGGCCTGGCGTGCTGCGATTCATGGGGTTGCAGAGTTGGACACGACTGAGTGACTGAACTGAACTGAATACAGTTCATCCTTGGAAAGGAAAGGCCTTCATATGCAGCAGTATATTTGTGGCTCGTTTATGTGTCCTTTTCTTCCCATTTTTTCTCCCAGACCTTAGGGATTTTCCATATTTTCTAATTTACATGTAATAAATGCATATACATATATAGCTCAATAAATTTTGAATATTTATGCATATTACCATTATGTAAACCAATTTGTAGAATACTTCCATCATTCCAGAAAATCCTCTCATGCTCATTTCCATCCTATGCTCATCCAGAGGTTACCACCCTAGTTTTGTTTTGCCTGTCCTTGAACTTGATATAATGTAATGTGTCAAGCGTTCTTTGTTCAACATTTTTTAGACTTATCCCTGTTCTACCAGAAATTCACTTTTTTAAATTGCAGATTGATATCTCAGTGTATGTTAGTTAAGTCGTGTCCAACTCTGCGACCCCATGGATTGCAGCCCCCAGGCTCCTCTGTCCATGGAATTCTCCTGGCAAGAATAGTGGCGTGGGTTGCCATTTTCCTCTCCAGGGGATCTCCCCAGCCCAGGGATCAAACCTGGGTCTCCTGCATTGCAGGGTGCTGCTGCTTTACTGTCTGAGCCACCAGGAAAGCCCTTAAATATACCTTTATTTTGATTATTCACTAATGTGTGGATGGATATTTGGGTAGTTCCCAGTTTGGAACTAGGAGAATATTCTTGCACAAATCGTACTGTGGGCACAAGCCTTTCTTTCCTTTGGTTGTATCTGTGGAAGCGGAGTCAGCAAGTAAGCCTATATTTACCTTTATGAGGAGCTGGCAAGCTGTTTTCCAAGGTGACAGTTGCTTCACGTTCTCGCTACTCAGCAGGCATGCAGCGTTGCTTCCTTCTGGTTTCGTCTTGTGTTCTCTGACGTTGGGCTTCTTTTCCTGTGCTAATTGTACATCAGGACAGCTTCTGTGAAGTGTGTATCCAAGTCACTGATTTTTATATTGTGTGGCTTTTGCAATGGCTTTTAAAAGTTGTTTTCCTGTGTACAAATCCTTTGTCATTTGTATGTATTGCAAATATTTTCTCCTTGGCCATAGCTTGCCTTTTCACTTTAATAACATCTTCTTGCTGAGAGGGGCTTAATTTTGGTAAAGTTTATTTTTTTGGTCACACGGTGTGGAATGTAGGATCCTACTTCCCCGATCAGGGATGAAATCCATCAGTGGAAGCACAGCCCTAACCACTGGACCACCAGGGAAGTCCCATAATTTTGGTGAAATTTATCAGTTTTTATCTTTTATGGTTAACATCTCTCGTGTCCTGAGATATTGGCCTATTCTAAGAGTCATGGAGATATTCTGTTTTCCTCCAGGAGATTTACTTTACCCTTCTCATTCATTTAGATCTGTGATCCACTCTGAGTAAGTGTAGGTTGTGTGAAAGCATCAGTGTTTGGTGTTTTCTCGTTATCTTATGGGTATCATTATTCCAGCTCCAAATGAAAACACTTCCCCCTCACTTCCTGAATTGTTTGTTTGTTGAAAAGTCAGTAATTATGTGTGTGTGGATTCTAGACTCAGTTCTATCCACTGATCTATTTTCCTAACTTTAGTATCACACGCTCTCAATTTCTGTAGCTCTAAAGCAAATTATACAATCAAGTAGTATAAAGTCTTCCAACTTTTTTTCTTCCTTCTTCATGATTTTCTTGGCTCTTTTGGGTCTATTCCATTTCCATATATATTTGCCAGTTTCTACAAGAAAGCCCCATATTTTAATTTCATTGATTCTATAGATCAATTTGTGGCCAACTGAGATCTTAACAGTATGTAGTTTTTCAATCTATGAACATATTGATTACAGTTTTCTGTAGAAACTAAAGTAGTCTAGTTTCTCTCAGCAGTGTTTTGTAGTTTCTGGGTAGAAGGCTTGTACATCTGTTAATTGCTTTTAAGGTATTTGACTTATTTGATGATAAACTGCATACTTAAAGTTTAATTCTCAATTGTTTGTGGCTAGTGTATAAACAGTACAACTGAGTTGCCTCATGTCCTGCAAAACTGTTAGTTCTGGTAGATTTATCAAGCACACTTCCAAGAAACCAGACAGTATGAGCAGTGTCATAAGACATCTGATTTGCAGAGTAAAAAGGGATTCGCCCTTTGTATACCTTTTTTCACAGTCACCACCTCAGGAATACTACCTTCTTTCTGATTTCCTTCTCCTTTGAAGAACATGTAATTCTAGAGTTAAATTTTTTCTTGGTATAGTTCTTGAAAAATGGAGATAGCACCAAATCTTTACAGAGGAACCTTTGTTTTTCAACTGAATGTAGAACAGGGAAATGAGGACATGGCCTACATGCTGCTGCTTATTTGCAGAATGGTGAACAAAGTACTATTTTTCAAGATCCCAATTAGACCAGAAAGACATATTAAAATGGGCTGGGACTGGAGTAGGGTGAACAGATTTGTGAGATTTGAATTATCTTTAACGGTCACATTTATGAATGATTCACTGGTCAAGTAATCAAATCTTTTCATCGTCTTTTTCATTGATTCCTTTCTTCCCAATTTACAACAGTTGAGTAGCACACTGCCTAATCTACAAATAGCTATAAACAACAGGGATACATTTTTAACTTCAAATAAAACCAATGTAAGGCACAACCATTCAGGAATATTTTATATTTTCAACGTATTTAGGAATTCTTTAATTAGAAAAATAGAGGCAATGGGATTATCTATCAGGTTCTAAAAGTACCCATGAATGAAATCACTCACATCCCCCTCTGAAAAATACACAACAAGACCTTAAATCACATTGTTGGTTAAGTTTTCTTACAGTAAGAGATAAGACCAACCTACACTAGGTACAAAATCCTGAAATTCTGAGCATGAAAATAATTTAGACGTCTGGTTTATTCAAGCATAAGGCCTACCAAAGATAGAATGAACACAGCTCATGGAGTAGGGGAAACACCCCATCCAGCACCTGCTTTGTCTCAGACTTCCTGGGCGCAGAATTTACGCATTCTGCACTACAGCTTCACTCTGCAGCAGCCACGCGTGCTTGGTATCGACTTGAATGTGGTATGAGAAACTTTCTGTACACTCAACTTGGCAAGTATCATTAGTGATGCAACTTTCAGAAACAGTCTTAGGCACAAGAAATAGCACTGCCTGCAGTGAGAGTCTCTGATAAAGAAAAGACTATCATTAAATATAATCTTACAAATAGGAAGAAAAATACACGTAATTTTTGCCAATGGATTGCCTCACATATCAGGAAAAATGTTACAATTAGATTTTCTTTCCATGAGATTAAAACATTAATTTAATTGATACTCAACTTTTAATTGATCCTCAGGTTATCTTGTATTTAAAATCGGAACAAGAAAACCAATTTACCCTAAGTGGAATTTTTAGGGAAGAAATGCAGGCCTAATAATATGGAATAATAGCTGCACTTCTTTGGTTAACTCATTAAAAAATGCCAATTAAACATTTTCAGTCGTATTTTATTAAAAAAAAAAAAAGCAGCAGATCAACATTACAATTCAAGAACCTAATCTAAATATGCACTTGACAATGAAGCACATCCGAATATGGAGTGAAAAAATTTTTCCAAAAAACCATCAAATGTATCATTTCCAAATACCCAAATTATAAATCACTTCTGCAGGCCTTTTGTTGAGTGGAATCATAAACAAAAAACAAGATTTATTGCTGTGAAAACCAATCTGTAGTACAGTAGTATGAGTCTTGGGTGTTAAGTAAGCATAATCAGTTGAATCAAGTTAGGAAGTTGAAACTCTAATAAGAAATTTGTGTGTGTGTGTGAGGAAAGTCTGTAAGCCAGTTGACCCAAGAACAACTGAGATATCTAACTTGTTCAGTGAGACCAGACACCACTTTAAATCTCCATTTTTTTGAAGGCAATTAAAAATTACAATTCCAACAGCCCACAAACAAAAAAAAAAAAAACTGTAGAAAGCAATTAAAACTACGTTCAAAGAGCCACTTTTTTCAGCTCAATTTCAGCACCCCAAGGAAAAAAAAAACATCCATGACTATCACAGATGAAAATAGAATGAATGTCATTGGAATCAGTTATTTTTCCCCACTGAGGTATAAAATCTATATAGAAATTTGATACTATACTATAACAAATTGTACTTTTCATAGTTCTGTTTTAATTTCCTTTAAACCCTGTTTAATATAGTTTGCTTTTTAAATTGTTGTAAAAATGTTTTCATAATTCTGAATCTGGTTCCAGTTCTTTTTCATTTATTTTTATATCAGTATTTAATATACTGGCTACCAGTTCTAATCAGAAGAAAAATCTTAGACATCTCTTCATTATGACAGCACATTCAGCAGAAATCACTGATGTGCAAGCAAACCATAAAAGGTGCAGCTCTCTGGAAAGCACATTTCGTAGATTGTTTCAGTCTGAGTATTCTTTACGATGATTCTTGATGAACGACTCTTTCAATCTTGTAAACATCAGTGTGCACAGTCTCGCTACTATGTAGTTGCACGTCCTTGGACAGGAAGGCTGGTTCACAGCTAGTGGAAGCGAGGGCAGTCTATAAAGTTTTAATGGCTGATAAACCTTACATCCTGCAGAAGGAAAGCACTTTTCCTTTTTTTGCTACTGAAGAATGTGGCAGAAATGTATGCTGAGGTAGCCCAGTCAGTCCTTACGTTTTCCTCTTTTGTGTGAATTTGGTCTCAGAATATTTCTGGAAGGGTGACGTTTCGAAGCAGCCACTGCTGGGACCGGCTTCCACTGCAGTCTCTGATGCTGGGCACCTGGCTGTCCTCGTCTGTGGCTTTGTCCAGGCACTGGTTACTGTTCACGTGCTGCAGGGTCAGCTTCTGAGAGAGACAGGAAAGGAAGTCTTAACGTCAAAGTGGAAGACAGAAACCAAAGCGCCTCCAACACCATATTTTTGTGATTATGAAGTTCCTCTGTAGAAAAGTGTTTTGTTTTTGCAATATGAAATACAGATTATTTAAGACATTGGAGGAATGTATCTATGTAAAGACAGCAACGCTGGGGGGATGCACGGGGACTACAGTGGATTATGCTAGAGCTGCGATCAGATGACCTCAATTCTAAGTTCCAGTTCTGTGGTAAGTTCTGTAATACTGTGAGAAAATCCCTTTTTGTGCTTTGATCTCCTAAAAAAAAAAAAAATCTTATTAGTGATTCCCAATTTAGGATCCTCAGCCTATTTTCCAAAAGGTATTTCAAAACTGTTTCATTTTCCCATGAGAAGGCTGTTCAAATTAACTCTGATTCCAAACTTCAAGTTCTTGGAAACTCAGGTCTTCCTGAAGACTTGAACTCATAAGATTTATAAAACAGTCCTTAATTAATGGCTGACAGATGTGGCTATGTATCTTCCTCTCTACTTGTCTGCGTTCCAGACCTGATGGTGTCATGTTGATTTTTAGGAAAATTAAAAAAGGACAGATGGCATTGAGAGACACATACTGACCATACTAATGAATATGATACCAAGCCCTGGTCAGGTGAAGAACTCCAAAGCAACTATGTAGGAAAGCTAATTACTGTACAATATTGTGGTGGTTTTTGCCATACAGTGACATGAATCAGCCTTGGTGCACATGTGTCCCCCATCCCGAACCCACCTCCCCCTACCCCATCCCTCTGGGTGGTCCCAGTGCACCAGCTTTGAGTGCCCTGTTTCACGCATCGAACTTGCACTGGTCATCGATTTCACATATGGTAATAGACATGTTTCAGTGCTACTCGCTCAAATCATCCCACCCTCGCTTTCTCCCACAGAGTCCAAAAGTCTGTTCTATATATCTGTGTCTCTCTTGCTGTCTTGCATATAGGCTGTCATCGTTACCATCTTTGTGCGTTAAAATATTGTATTGGTGTTTTTCTTACAAGGCCTCTTTTGTACCTATTTGAACTTCAAACAAAGCAAAACCTGGTGACTGTCGACAACACAGCTATCTTAGCTTTCAGTCATTTCTTCTTCTGTATTGTGGCCCAAGCGGAAGTTGATAAAGGGCAGTGCACACTCGCAGATGTCACAGTTTACTATCAACACCGACTTCAGGATTAGATACTTAATCCTTATAAATGCTTCAGAATAGGACATGGAAGAGTCAGCATGGCTGGACTCTGCAGTTAAGACATTTCTGGAGTGAACCCCAGATTTGTCACATACCAACGACACGCCCTGAAGCAAAAACCTCTCTGAGCCCTAGGTTCCTTATCAATGAAATGGGGAGATATACTTCTCGAGGCATGAGGAAACATTAAGACAGTGTGCAGAGAGCGTGGCCAGCTCAGAGGCACTAGCTGTCGGAACGTTCCACAGCGTCCTGAGCGGCTGCGGACGGTCTGGCAGCGCCGAAGGTCCCCACGCATACCACCGCTGCCAAGGCCTTCTGTCGTGTGTAGGACAAAAACAGAGCACTTTAAAAAGAACCCCTCAAACATTCCACAGGCCCTTCAAAGCTTCTCTGGATGGCCACCTTCATCAGGCCCATTGTTAGTATTAATAAAAGTAAAAAAATGCATTATTTCACTTATTTAGAGTCATTAAAATAAGTTCGTTAACAGGTTACGATCCATGCTGGGTATTTAACTGCTCAAAATTAAGACAGAATCCCCATAATTTCAGGGGGCTACCCTCCCTTCAGGAGACCTGGCTGCTGACTGCATGGCAGAGTTCTGGGGCTCGTGACCATGTGGGGACTGTGGTCACTGTACGCAGCAGAGTTCTGCCAGCACTCATCAGCATCTGCACAGAAAAAGGGTTATGAAGGCAATGGGCTAACTGTAACCTCTGAAAGGAGGATACAGTTATAGATATCACTGCATGAAAAATTTGCTGCCCCCTGCCTCTAATGTAACTGTGGTAAAAATCTACATTTTCATTCCAGAAAGGACAGCTACAAGCAGTCAAAGCAAAAGAGCCAAGTATCATAAACTCTGCAATATGTAATATAAACAAGACTTAAAGGATGTAGTAGACATTTAATAAAAGATTAATTCTTTGCACAGAATCCTTGTTCAAGAATCCCAGGTTTGTCTGAGATCTGGTAGCACTGTTTACTTGCTCTGTGACCCTGGGCAATTAATTTCTGTTCTGGGCTTCAATATTTACATGTATTAAACAAGGCCCTGAATTTTGTTTCTAGGGTTCCTTTGAACTCTAGGATTTCACAACTTTAGGTTTAGAGGACACATTACTGACATAAATCTTATTTTTCCAGAGTGCTGTTTTCAACTGGAGGCAGAACTCTGACCGGCCATCCCGAGCTCCCTGTGCAGTAAGCCAGGCTGTGAGACCCCGCTGCAGCCTAACCCCTCCTCTGCCCAGTTCTGCCATCTCCCTCTTCACAGGTGTCGATCTAAAGGGTGCTCCCGGTAAACATCCTGAATGCTAAGGCTTGACCTCAGAGTAGAGCCTGCCTCTGGGAAAACCCAGCGTGCTTGCAAGATGCTCCAGGGGTTTTAAAACTTTACACTCGTAACTAGTTCTTTCAAAGTATCCTAAATCACCTGAAGCACCTTAATTTCTAATCAAATATTTGCTTTTTGAAAAACTGTTGTGATTTCAATGTATGACAAAAACCACTGCAATGTTGTAAAGTAATTAGCCTCCAACTAATAAAAATAAATGGAAAAACAAAAAGAAAAAGAAAAACTGTTGTGGTAGACTATATAGGTTATGCAGATCTGCCAAAAGCCATCCCCACCCCATCTCCCAGCTACATCATACCGTAAAGAATGGAAAAGCAAATGCCTGCTTTCCTGGCCTCCCGCACAGCTGGGAGAAGCTCTGAGAAGTTCTGGCCCATGAGACAAGGATCCAGGAAAAGCTTTGGCTTTCCTGATAAAGAGGAATTCAAGGAGCAGCGTACTAGTCGTCTTTTCTTTTTGCCTTGAACTGGGAGTGATGGTGAACTAAGGCCGCCTTCTAGGGGCCACAAGAAAGCGGCCGAGAATAGTGCTGCAGTTACCCCTGACAGCGCTGTGTCACTGAATCCACACCAGAAGCCACTTACCTCCAAACTTAAGGAAAAAGCCCACTATTTGTTCATGCTACTATAAATAGGTTTGTTACCTATTTAAATACACTGTCATTTTTCAATAAACATATACAATCGGGAGGCTCTTAAAAATATTTTGGTTTCATAATGACTGTGGGGTGCCACTGATATTTACTGTCTGGAGTCAGAGATGCCATATATCCTGCAGTACCTGGAGCAGCTACACCCAACGTGGCAACAGCATGTACCATGGAAAACTCCAGAATATTCAGTCCAACAGTCATATTAACTAAGCTACTGCACACACACTCTCATACATAGACATACATGTATGTATGTATTTGTGTGTGTATATATATATTAACTGTAGTTTGATACTGTGAAGGGAGACCCAGGATTTATAAAACATGGTCTCTATCCTCTAGGATCCAACTAATAGAGGAGAAAAAGACTGGGAGACAAATATTAAGATTGGTGCAAAACTAACTGCAGTTGCATTGTTGAACTCTGTTATTAGAATACAATCTTAAAGTTATGTCATACATCATTTTAAAGCACATTTCTTGCTTTGTTTGCTAATGACTTATTAGTTGCTGTGTATTTTATATTATTCTAGAATAGGGAGATGATATTAGACAAAAAGCAGATTCAGGCGATTTTCTTATAAGAGTTCAAAATGGGTTGTAAAACAGCACAGACAACTTGCAACATCAACAAGGCATCTGGCCCATGAACTGCTAATGAACATATAGTGCAGTGATGGTTCAAGAAGTTTTGCAAAGGAGACAACAGTCTTGAAGATGAGTGCAGTGGCCGGCCATCGGAAGTTGATAACTCCAATTGAGAAGCTCATCGAAGCTTAACAACTACATGAGAAGTTGCTGAAGAAAATGACGACCACTCTATGGTTGGGCATTTGAAGCAAAGAGGAAAGGTGAAAAAGCTCAATAAGGGGTGCCTTCATGAACTGACCACAAATTAGAAAAAGTTATTTTGAAATGTCATCTTATTCTATGCAACAATGACAATCCATTTCTCGATCAGATTGGGAAGTGCAATGAAAAGTGTATTTTATATGACAATTGGAGATGATCAGCTCAGTGGCTGGATCGAGAAGAAACTCCAAAGCACTCCCCAAAGCCAAACCTGCACCAAAAAAACGTCATGGTCAGTGACCTGGTGGTCTGCTGCTGATCTGATCCACTACAGCTTTCTGAATCCTCGCAAAACCATTACATCTGAGAAGTATGCTCAGCCCATGATGAGACGCACTGAAAACTGCAACACCTGCAGCCAGTGCTGGTCAACAGAAAGGGCCCAGTTCCCCATGACAATGCCTGGCCACACGCCACACAACCAAGGCTTCAAAAGTGGAGTGAATTTGGCTACCAAGTTTTACCTCATCCGCCATATTCATCTGACCTCTCGCCAACCAACTACCACTTCTTCAAGCATCTTGACAACTTTTGCAGGGAAAATACTTCCATAACCAGCAGGAGGCAGAAAATGCTTTCTAAGAGTTTGTTGAATCCTGAAGCATGGATTTTTATACTACAATAAACTCACTTCTCATTGGCAAAAATGTGTTGATTGTAACCGTTTCTTTTTTGATTGAAAAAGATGTGTCTGAGCCTAGTTGTAATGATTTAAAATTCACGGTCTGAAACCGCAATTACTTGTTCACCAACCTAATAACTACAGAGAAGCACAAAATCACAGGGGTCAGAAACAATTATAACTAAGACAGAGCTAATTTCTGGCTGGGAGTGATGTCAACTCTGGGCCCTCAAGAACAGGCAGGATCTGTCAGGCAGAGAGAATAGTATGACCTTAAATATAAAGTAGGAAAGAACAGGATATGGTCAGGGAATAACTGGTCAAATATGAAAGTAGACCAGGATTTGTATGTGACAGTATAAGGAGAAAAGGCAGCCAAAGTCAAAACTTGGTTTGGATCTCATTTAAGGGTTAGGATGAAGCAGCAGAGTGAAGCAAGCAGAAGAGAGAAAGCTATTTGAAGAAACTGAACAGTCGTGCATCTATAGGCAACATGAAGAGGATTTAGAAAAAGTATCTGTTTAGCAGTCGTAAATGCTATAGACAAGTCAAGGACAAGCGATGAGAGAGCTCTGGCTTTGCATCCAGGAGCTGTTTCTGCAGTGTCAGGCCAAGGCAGGAGCCAGGGATGAAGAACCAGAGGCCTGAGTGTCGGCCATTCACTCGCCGTCATACAACACAAGAGAAGAGTAGGATGGTGTGTAGAAAATGAAGTAGCAACAAAAGTCTGTCCCAATGTGAAGAGAAGAAAGCCAGTGCTGGAAGCAGAAGAAAAAGAACCAGAGAAACACATCCTGCCAAGATCCCAGTGCCGGCTCCAGAATGGCAGAGCACAAGCATCAGCCGGGAGGTTAGTCGGGTACGAGGAGGCTCCGAGTCCTCTCCCTGAGCACCACACGGGCGGTGGGGAGGGGGCGCAGCTCCACAGGAGAGCAAAGATAAAGTCACTGAAAAACAGGAGGCAGAGAATTTCACTAATGAAACCTACATGTTTAATTCAGTAATTTTAAAAGCCTACTTACTGTTCCACTTCCACCACACTGGAGAGCAAAGCTTGAGGACATGCAGAGGGAAGAGTGGCTGAGTAGTAACACAAGGACCCAGGGCCTGGAGTCAACCCTAATTTAATTACTGGAGAGATTACAACATGTGTGTGTGTTTTTTTTTGTTGTTAACTTATATTGCTTTTCCTGTCAATTTTGGGAGTATAAGAACAATTTGATCTATAGTATACAGACTCCATAAGAATTCATTCTTTTAGATATAAAGTAGTTTATATAGTATACCTTACGACACACAATTTTATTCCTATATTTATTCCCATTTTCAACTGGAATATAACTTACCACCGGATCATACTCCCAAAGCTGGTTGCCTTTTAGGTGGTGGCATTTGAGCATTGTGACTGGGCCATTAAGTTTGGAGACATCCAAGCAAAGGTCATCTGTTCTAATTTCTTTGTTGGCAGTGTAAGAGAAAACCTGATAAACAAAAATGCACATATAAGCTTTAACAGCAAATTAAGTTACTGTTTTATGTGCCCAAGGATCTGGCAGGGGAAAAACAAGTATTGAAAATAAATGCTTTTTGAACTTTTATTAGTATAATAGAGAATAAATGACTCAGAAAAGCCACCACTATTTTTGCAAAGGAGAAGAAAAAATGACCTTAAGTTCTCTGTAAATACTGAGTTTATTGTCAAGAGCTGTCATCTGTTTGACTAAAAAGGGCAAAATAAATCTCATGTACAACAATGTAAATATGGTTCTCACAAAGGGCCGTCTACAAATGTTTCATTTTAAAAACAGTCATTAGATTGAAGGCTCCATTCTTCTAAAGGTCTTTATTATTTGCTCTTTAGAAGTAGGAAAATACTTCCTGAATGATGTCATGAGACAAAAAGGGAAGATTAAAACAAATCCAAAAAGTATCCCTTTAAAGCTTTACTAAAATACTCACCTGATTACCTCCCATACCGTGACAGTTAAAAATCCCAACTTTTTCATTCTCTTTTCTAGCCATGTTATCTAGACACTGATTTGTTTCCACATTTCGTATCTAGGGGAAAATGAATAATGAAAACACCACGAGTTAGAGAGGCTCACTAGTCAGACACATACAGATCTACACACACATTAAAACTGATCCAAACTTCCCACTAAATCTTTAATTCCTGAGACAAGTTGGGGGTGGGGGGGGGGGGGGACACATCACGGCCTAAGATTCTGTGGTCTAAAAAGCTCTTAACTATTTATATAATAATTTTTGTGTTTCAAGGAGAAATCCTTTAAGTTCTTATTTCTTTTATCCTAAGCTGTTCTTCTGGGATTTGTATTTAACTCAGTAAGCTCCAGTTTGCCTAATAATTTTAAAGCAACAAACAACTCCCTGTGGACACTCTTTGCCCCCATGATAAGGGGGCAGTACTTTTGATAACTACTTTGACGACTTCTTAGGAGACTTAAGGAGGGTATTTTCTAAGCAAAGAAACCTAGAACTTGGCTTAACTGGGAAGCCTAAGCATACTGCAGTGCAAACACCACTCTTCTGTTAGATACTTGTCAATTACTGTAAAAAGCTGAATCAGTCATCAGAATTAGGAAGAATATTTTAAGCACTGTTCCTTGACATTTGTTTCCCTCTGAACCACTGTAGTTTAAAAGCACATGGCAAATTAACAGACATTTGTAAAGCCCAAATCTATTCTCATGCGTTAGCAGGTAAGCCAGAAGAGAAATGTGTGACAAACTACATGCTATGTAGATGGAAAGAAAGTTGTGTGTGATAGATAACATGGCAGTAAAGCTAAAACCACAAGTAACTCATTTATTTTCATAAACATGTGCTGTCTACATATTATTCTGCTATTTTAATAAGGCACTAACAAGTCCAGATTCATTTTTTTTCATATGAAGATACAATAGTCTAAGTATGAATAACTATTATTCCCAGAGGGTCAGAATAAGAACTGGGGCTTTAGCCTAAGAGGGGGCCTAATCCAGACCCTCTGAGGACAATTTCCTAAGAGTGACTAGTTAGCTGTCTGCTGAAGCTGGGTGAGACAGGGCATCCATGTACCTACTCTGGAGTCCAGCACAGAGTGGACTCAGAAATAGTAATAATCTGCACTGCTGCCTTATCAGCAGTCACCTCCATCTGGCTGTTCCATCAAAACCTCAAACTCAGTTCAAGCAAATAAAGGATTTTTCAAGTCCTTAATGCTAACATTTCTTCACCTGAACATTTTAACATAACACTGCCACTCCTAACTCTGAAGAGACTCCTGGGTATAAGATATCACATCAGTCTCCAGGAATTCTTTTACTGCGTAATACACATCATCTTTTTATCCATTATTTTAAAGCAGAAACCTATCACCTCATAAGTAGATTTTATAAAAGGTTTTATACTTAGATACAAATATGCATGAAAGACACCTTTCTGCACCCCAGTGGGTAGTCAATTAATACTTGATGATCACAGCTCTCGTATGTGACAAAAAATTTAGTTCCAATTTTGACAAGATGAGTCTTTATCTCATATATCCATATAAACTGATTATTTCCTTATACTGTTGAAAAAGTTACCAATCCCCAGTCCTACATTTTCTTCAATTTTTTTTTCTTTCAAATATAGACGTAGAGGTTTCTGAAGACAAGTGGTAAATGTCACAGAAATGATTAGGGAAGAACCAACATTACTGTCAGCTTCTCCCTCTCACATGAAATGATCTTTTGGTTAAATACTTACCTTTTACCAAACTGAGTATGAATCAAAATTTAAAAAGTACAATTCTCCCCAGGTGTAACTGGACTTCTTGTTACTCTGTAACTATATCAACTTCAGTGATTCTGTTACCATAACTGATGTTGCTAACAATTACAGCAAATAAAGTACACTTACTCTGCACTAGGCATTGTTCTATGAGTTTTACCTGTAACATTTTATACTATTTTATACATTTCTAAGAACAATTCTGGATTGTTTTCTGACATAAGAGATCTGAGCCTCCATCCCTGGAGGAAACTACTAACAACTAGATGTGAGAAGTAGAGTTCTCCAAAGATTGGAAACCATGGCTTCCCAACACCTGTCTTGGTGACAGTGAACCTTGACCAGCAAGAAGTGTTCCCACCTAAGATGGGTGATCAGGGACTGAGAGGTCAGTCCTCTGCTGGGGCTTGATGGCATTGCTCCAAACCACACGGGAAGCCTGGGGAGAAGCACTGCACAGTGAGAAAGCACTTCTGTAAAAGGGCAGCTGTGATGCTTGGTCCCTGGGCAGAGAGGATTCTGTCTGGCTTAACATTTAAGTGGCATCTCTGAGCTGCTCTCCAGGCAGTTTTTCCATGTGCTGATTGCTAGAGAAGACACTTTTCAGGCAGTATCTTCCTCCTTTGTAGGAATACATATGGGCTACCTCACCTATGGAGTGTGTGAGATGATTTTTTGAGGACATGAAAAACCAGGATGACTAGGGGTGAATTTTGGGAACAGTTCTATCCTTTATGATGTCAAGAGGCAGTAAATCATTTAATAGGCTGGTTTGGTAGGAGTTAATTTTGGAGCCTTTGGAAGAAGAAAAAATTAGGGACAAACATTTTTAAAGAAATGTTGGATTAGATGTTCAAAACTATAATTCTATATACAGCCTTAAGGCTATGTAACCAATCACCTGCTTTCCCGTGAACTATGGAAAGTAGAAATGGTGGTGATATATACTTGTTTGAGTGTTCATACTGGAATGGAAATAAGTACCAGACTTGTTTACTCAAAATTTGACACTTAAAGTCATAACAATATCTGAGGTACGCAGTTGGGGGGCAATGGCCACACTTGCAAGGTGTCTGGAGGCAGATGGATAGGCATTGAGAGCTCAGGGCTGGGGGACGTGCAGGGCTGGGCCTCATTACTAGCCATGTGACCTTGGCAGGCCAATATTCTAAGACAGTGATACCAAAAACTATGACTTGCACAACAGTACTTGCCATTAAACAAAGGATTTTGTGATCAAGTATGTTTGGGAAATACTGGATTAACATCACTAACTCAATGGACCTGAGTTTAAGCTCTGGGAGTTGGTGATGGATAGGGAAGCCTGGCATGCTGAAGTCCATGGGGTCGCAGAGAGTCAGACATGACTGAGTGACTGAAGTGGATTAACAAATTTAAATAGATTTTCTTTACTGAACAACTTCTCAAAGCCTTTTAATAGACTGCTGGTAGGGGTGGGGACTGAAGATACAGAAGAATATAAGATATAAAGAATAGCATTTCCCAAACATTTTTGGCCATAACATCCACCTCTCTTCCCCTGTCCCTTGCCTTTCTAACAGGCACCTTAGAGAGACATCAGACATCAGCAGGAGAAGTTGCTGTAAAATCTCATTTTCTCATCTGTAAGCGAGGTAACAGACCCAGCAGAAACCAACACCCAGTAGGCCCACAATGCTACCAATTTTCCTTCCTTAGCTTAGTGACACGGCTGTCACTAAAATGTTATTTTCTACCTTACAAGTTGATGATTGTGAATGTGAATGAAATCAGGCAAGAAATCAGAGCCTCAGTTTCTTGGTTTCTGCTATAGTCTCCTCCAGAATTCTGGCACCTTATTAGTGGGGACAGTGTAAGCAATTAAAGGTATTTTGGGATCTACTACTAAGGAATCTAGACTGACTTTTTCACTCTCTGCTGTGAGATTCATGAGTAATACTGGTTAGACATGAGAAAGAGTATGAGTGCCAGTGGTTATGAGCACAAGCTCTCAAGCCAGACTGCTTGTTTTCAAACCCTGTCTCTTCCACTTTGTGGTTGTGACCTGAGCCATGTTGTTTAAATCATTTCTTTGTGCCTTAATTGACTTACCCGTAAAGTGGGGGATAATAACACCTATCTCAAAGTGCTGGGAAAATGAGTTAATTCATAAAGCATCAGACTGGTGCTTGACATAAAGTTCATGCTCTGAAACTTTTAGGGTGGGAAAGCAAACGGTTAAGACTGGTTAAACTGTAAAAGATTGTATTTATTTGCTTTCTGTGGCTATTGTTTAGACAGTTCAACTCCTGGATTAACAATGATTAGAGATCACAATGAAACACATTTATTCAGTTTCAGCTCCTACCAGAGTTATAATTACACAGCGGGATTTCATGAATCCAGACACACTAAATGTACACCTTCTGATTTCTCTTTCTGCTCTAAAATCTGACTTTTCAGGTTTCCTTATAAGATGACAAGTGGTCCTTGATGGGCTAAGCTCTAGTCTCTGGGGAAGGAAAGCTCACCCAGGAGGAGCTATGATCACAAGCACAAGCTCCCTGGCTGCACTGTGGCAGGTGCTTGGAAACAACCCCAGTCCCCACAGCAGCACTTCACCTGGGACAGTGTGGCCTGGTATGAAGGGCATAAGTGCTTAAAACCAGCTGTTACTAAGGCAATAACAAGCAGGCCAGAGAGAGTAAAATCTGTTCTTTATACACAAAGCCTGCTGGCAAGAGGCAGGTAAAGGGCAAGCTTGCCTTGGCAATCAGCTACTGTGGGTTAGACAAGCAGCTCTTTGTAATATGCCTATATTCTGACCTAGCTAACAATGCCTAAGTGTTGTCCAAAACTGGGTCGGTTCAAAGAAAGAAAAAGAAAAAGCTCCTCAATCTTTATTCTAAAGGCGCTGTGCTGTGCTAAGTCCCTTCAGTCGTGTCCGATTCTTTACCACCTTATGGACTGAAGCCCGCCAGGCCCCTCTGTCCATGGGATTCTCTAAGCAAGAACACTGGAGTGGGTTGCCATGCCCTCCTCCAGGGGCTGTTCTCAGCCAGGGATCGAACCCAGGTCTCTTACATCTCCTGTACTGGTGGGTGGGTTCTTTACCACTAGTGCCACTTGGGAAGCCCCATTCTAAAGGTGAACAACTGCTATCAATCTTCCCATGGCCTCACTCACGCTGGGCCTTCCTTGACTGGAATGAGGCTACAGCAAAGGGAGCAGGTGCTCACTAATGAGGCAAGGAACTCCGCATACCCCTCGTGTGTTTGAGGTGACTTCCTTAAATCACAACAAAGTTCAGAGGCAGGGAGCTCACGTCAGCCCCGAAACAGCCTCGGTAACTACCAAGGACAGACACAGGCGTCCATGCTTGCCCTGGCTCTGGAGATGCTGCAACCAGGCAGCTCCTCACTGCTCTGCAGCTCCCCCTGTGATCTATTTGCGCCACCGTATCCTATTAATCCTTTTCTATTTTGCATCTTCCCCTCTTTCCCCAAACCGCCACCACCAACAATCCCCCTTCACTCTCAGCCAACAATCTTGTGTTCAGCTGAAGAATCAAGTCACCAGACAGCTTCCTCTCACATCCACCTCAAAGTTCCAGCTTCCAGCCCTCAACCCACAGTTCACCTGACTTGGGCCCACCCCTTTACCTTCCTTCCTGGTGCAGTGGAGGACTGCCTTCTCCCCCCAGCCACCTCCCCACTTGTGCATCAGAGCTCACCATGAACCCCCTCCACGTGACTCCAGCATCAGTGGCTCTTTTCTAGCATCTTCAAATTTTCTCCTTTGTATCACTGCCATCAGCACAGTTTCATCTTAGTAAAAATAAATAGAAAAGCCCTTTTTTAACCCCATTGACCCCTCCGGCTACCACTCACTTCTCTGTTCAGCTTTATAGCACAATTTCCTGTCCACGCGTCTCATCTCCACTTTTTCTCCTGATCTCCTGTGAAGCCGTCGGAGATCCCATCCCTCCCCGTCTCCAGGGAAACCCGCCCGACTCCGTGAGAGGCGATTCCGGACAGTGTCTCCCACCCGGACCCAGCGGCCAGTTCTCAGGGCTCGTCTTCTCTGCAGTGCTCCACACAGTCGATCTCGTCCTCTTTCTTAACTCAAGTCCTTCACTTACCGGCACATCCTTCTCCTGGGTATCTTCCTATTTCAAAGCCTGCTCCTTCTCAGTCTTTTTAGCTGATTCCCTCTCACCTTCATAATGTCTAAATTGTGGAGGATGTCTTATTCCTCATTCTTTCCCTCTTGTCCATCTACATTCACTCACCCCAAGGTGCTCTCATCAAGTTCTGTGATTTTAAAAACCACCTATACACTGACAATCCCTAACTTTAGATCTCCATCCCACACTTTCATCCAAACTACGGGTTGTTTTTTTTTTTTTTTAATGTAACTACTTACCTAAAGATAGGAAACCATAAACAAAACCAAAAGACAACCCACAGAATAGGAGAAAATATCTGTACATGATGCCATCAACAAACGATTTAGTCTCCAAAATTTACAAACAGTTCACGTGGCTCACTATTAAAAAACTAATGACTCAATAAAAAAATGTGCAGAAGACCTAGACAGACAGTTCTCCGAAGACACACAGATAGCCAAGAGGCACATGAAAAGATGCTCAATATCATTAATTACTAGGGAAATGTAAATCAAAAGTACAACTAGGTACTAAGTCACACTGGTCAGAAAAACCACCATTAAAAAGTCATAACTAGTGCTGGAGAGGTGGTGGTGGGAATGTAAACTGGTATAGCTACTATGGAGAACAGTAGCTATAGGGAGAACAGTTTTTGAGATTCCTCAAAAACTAAAAACAGAGTTGCCATGTGATCCTGTAATCCCACTACTAGTCATATCTGGAGAAAACTGTAATTTAAAACATGCACCCCAGTGTTCACTGCAGCACTGCTTACAATAGCTAAGACCTGGAAGCGACCTAGATGTCCTTCAACAGATAAACAGATAAAGAAGGTGTGGCAGATATACACAGTGGAATAAAAAGGACGAAGTAATGCCATCTGCAGCAACATGGATGGATGCAGAGATTATCAGGCCAAACACCAAATGATATCACTTATATGTGGGATCTACAATATGACACAAATGAATTTATCTATGCAACAAAACCCAGACTCACAGACACAGAGAACAGATTTGTGGTTGCTGAGGGGAAGGTGTGGGAGAGAGGTGGATTGGGACTGTGGGATTAGTAGAGCAAACTCTTATATACAGAATGGATAAACAACTGTAGAGCACAGAGAACTATATTCAATATCCTGTGATAAACCATAATGGAAAAGAACACGAAAAATAATGTATATATACATATATGTATCATTCACTCTGTTGTATGGTAGAAACTAACACAACACTGTAAATCAATGATACTTCAATAAATTAAAACAGGAACCATCCACATCTCCTGGTGCTTAGGAGACAAATTCCTGATAGAAAGAGACTTGAAAAAATAACAACTGGTCCTCCCACAGAAAAAGGTGAGAGGCTAAAGTACTAACATCAAAATCTCAGAAAGGCAAAACTGTCAGGGTTGAGGAGACAGAGACCCCTCCATGCGATTACTCAGAAACTTTGAAAGACCAGGCCTAAGAACCTACCTGAGCTGGAAGTGAACTAAGTCTTTATACAACTGCAATCCAGCCCCACCTAGCTCAGTCTCTGTTACAGACTGAACTGTGTCCCCTCAAATTCACATGTTGGAGTCCTAACCCCATTACCCTCAGAATGTGACATCATTTGGAGACAGGTTCTTTACAGAGGCAGTCAAATTAAAATGAGGTCATTAGGGTAGGCTTTAATCCAGTATGATTGGTGTCCTTAGTAAAGAGGGAGGATTTGGAGTCAGATGTGTACACAGGAGAACGCCATGTGAAGATGAAGGCAGAACTCAGGGTGATGCTTCTACACACCATGGAACACCACAGACTGCCAGCAAACCACCAGAAGCTAGAACGAGGCAGGGGAGAGAGTCTTCCTCACAGGCCTCAGAAACCTGCCCACACTCTGATCTCGGATTTCTCATCCTTAGAACCGTGAGACAATGCATTCCCATGTTCTCTGCCACTCAGGTTGTGGTATGTTACGACAGCAGCCCTAGGAAAGTACTGGAACTCCTGACTGGATCACACCCGTGAACTAAGGGAAGGGCCCATTCAGATTTCCTACACACAGCACAGCTTTGGCTGGGAAGCAGAGAGACTGGCTGTTGTCCTAGGAACATGGCGAGGACAGGGCACAGGACATACTTCCCTGAGCCCACCTGGCAATGACACCAGAAGGTAAAAGGGCAAGCCTCTTTCAAACCAGATCCTCTACTACTGGCATCGAAACTCCAAAAGCACAGTTAACTGTGTTGACTAATTATAAGCATTAATAAATAATTTCAGGTTTCAAGAAGATTTGCTGCTGGATTCTAAGAGCAAAGACTAAAGTCATCATCAGAGTAGGCATGCTAACGCACAAGCCCAAATGGAGATTTTGGGCTCTGAAAGGAAAATAAATAGGTGTTAAAAACACAACTGATTATACACAGTCTTTCAAGTTTCCTTGTCAGTTCTTTACAATTCTACTTTGAAGTTCCTCAAACTTTGATTCAGTCTAGTTAATGCTCGGATATCACCTTCAGGAATATATGGTTTCAACTAAATGGACCAGTTTGTTAAAATAAGTCTATTGAAGACACTAATATAACAAAAGTCCAACTGTGAAAGGTGAGAGGTAAAGCCTTATTTTAATAAAATGTAACATGATAAATTAATAAGACTTCAAGTTATGAGGCAGACTACATCAACTAACAAGGACTTTCCCGTACTTGAGTTTAAGTAATTTTAACATAGAGGCACACCCTTGTTAGAAGTTTAACCTCTATTCTTTTTTTTACAAATCAGTGAGAACCACACAGAATACATTTTTTTTTTTTTTACCTCTCCCAAAGAGAAATAGTGACGTGGAATCTGAGAATCAGGATAAATATTCTCTAGGTACCAAGAGAATGGTCTGCATTGGAGTTTGTGCCTTAGACCAAGTCTTGATGATATATCTCCATAATCTACCTTTGTAACACCTGGTAAAAGAAATAAGTCACTGAATTATTAATGTTCTGTTAGGCAATACATTTCTATTTAAATATTGCATCTAACAAGCCAAACAGGAAAAGCAATATCATTTTGGTGACATACCACAAATCTACCTCCCAAGGTATAAAACAAGAAAATAATGCGTTTTCCAAAGAAAAATTAAATTCATATGAGAACAGTTTACATGCCAATAACAATACACACAAATGTAAGTTACATGGGACCACAAAACTTTAATATTTGCTAAGGCAAAAACAAAGATCAATTTTGCCCACATATGAAACAGATGTTAAACAGAGCAATTGTTTCCAGTCAGGTATTTCTCACATAGCTCCCTAAATTGTGCACAGCCCCCCCACCCCCACCCCGGACAGTCTCGTGGTGACTGGAAGAGGATAGAATCATAATGTCAGGCAGATTTATAGCTGACGGAACAGCTGTTGTCACAAAATTCTGAAGAGCAGAGAAAAACTCCTGGAGGCATGATACGGGGCTTTGCACTGGCCTTGAAATACCTGACCATTTCATGTAAATGTTACATGTTGCAGTTAGGTTTAAAAAAAGAGAAAAACATGGAAAGTACCTGGACTAAAACAGTAATTTCTGCAATACTGGATCACGTATTATTATTGTTCCCTTGTGCGTGCTATGTCGCTTCAGTTGTGTCTGAGTCTTTGTGACCCTATGGACTGTAGCCCACCATGTTCCTCTATTCATGGGATTCTCCAGGCAAGAAGACTGGAATGGGTAGCCATTCCCTTCTCCAGGGGATCTTCCTGATGCAGGGATTGAACCTGTGTCTCTTGTGTCTCCTGTGATGTAAATATTATACCAGGCTTTTGCTAAGCACTTTCTATATATGTAATTTCATTTATTCTTTACAACAACCTCTGAGGTTAAGTGTCTCGCCTCTGCTCAAAGCTTCTTTTCCACCCCTTCTTACCTCTCCTCAGAATGCATTAGGATCAGACCAAGAAAGTTTGTCTTGTGTTTCTAATGCAAAATAATGCTAACCTGGAGAAATTATATAGAAGAAATTCTTGAATTCATCCATCCATACTTCTGCAAGTCGTCTGTTATTTTTATTGATAATCTGCCCCGTGCCTCCTGGAAACGTGTAGGGTGTAGCTTTCCGAAACACATGTCCAACATGTGAACAAGTAACAATCTCCAAAGTTCCTCCACACTGCCAAATCTGGAAACAGCCGCAAAGAAGATGGGTTTTAAACACCGGCAGTTAAAAAAAAAATTGTTCATATCTACTGAATTTCATGGCTGGAATTTCACAGAATCAAGGGTGTATGTGCAGTGGAGCTCCTGCTACATGGTCCCAGAGTCAGTGCTTCCTCAATTTCTGGTTCTGATCAAACCAGAAGTTGAAGGCTAAATTTAGAAAAGACGTGAGGTCCAGAGCAGTGTTTTTTCTAACTGCAGTCCATCAATCTTATAAGGGTCATAAAATTCAAATTTGATGAACTGCAACCAGCACTTAGTAACAAGGACATACTGTTTGATGAAATGCTTACATTATGGGTTGTGTGTATAATGTATTTATTAATATGGTTCATGGTCAAAAAACTTTTGACCATGGAGTGTTCAGCTGGAGCCCTATCTGTTTGTCCTCCAAACCTGTGTCACAACCTATACATTAACCAGAACCTAGGACTCTCAACTTGTGGATTACTCATGAGTTACTCAGTGGCCAGTGAGAGCAGTCTAGTGTCTTTGTGAGCATAAAAACAAGAAAAGGGAGAAAAGGAAGATCATTAAGTGTGTGTGGTTTCACATCCTTAATCAATTATCCTTCTATTCCTTTCAAAATACATTTTTCTGTAAGTTAAAAGTCTATTTAACTGTAGACTATTTTCAATTACAATGCTTTTTGAAAAGTCTTGACTTTGTTAAATACTCAGTGTGCCTACTCTAACGTTTTCCCAGGATCATAAAGTGATACAGCCAAATAGGATCTCCAAGATGCTCTGGAGTCCAAACCTCTCCTCTTATAAGGAGCAAGGTGATCCACCAGGAATGCAGTGAGCTAGCAGGGTTAGACTTCTGTGCAGTTCACTATGGTTTTCAATAAGCCATGTGTCTAAAGTTCATTATTTTCAGAAATACACATCATTCTAAAAATAAGTTGATTTTTGTGAACATGAAATGCATAAGACTTAAGGCTGACTGGGTTAAATTAATTTAGAATAATTTCAGAATTCTTTTGCCTTTTTCTTTTTATTGAAAAACAGAAAGCTGGTAAAGTGGCCAGGTTTAAATAAGAACAATTCTCAAACCAGAAGGACACAGAATATTAAAGAAGGTAAAATTACGTTTTTGTCAATTGAGGAACAAAGTAGCATTTACGAACTATATGTTATTTTTATTTACTTTTAGAGTTTGAATTACTTCCTTGAAAGTAAAGACAACTGGGGAATCCTGTGTAAATTTTACAGGTGGACTACTAATATAACTGAATTATTTGCTTAAAATACTTTAGAATGAACCTTTAATAGTATCTCCAAACTTTTTACGGGCTGAAGGCTGTGAAGTCTGGTTAAACTCATATTAAATTCACTTTTTATTTTTTCTTTAGAAAGAACACGAATATTCAAAGCATATTCATATTTGAGGTTATACAGGTTACTTTTTTCAACGGGAACTTACCCTAAAGGAAATTTCTAGGTTTTCTCCTCCCCAAATATCCATTCCAGCATCATATGTTCCAATTTCCTGAAAGTAATCTCTGTCTATTGAAAAAAGGCCTCCTGCCATTGTAGGTGTTCTGAAATTCAATCATAATACTATACTGTTAATTGCAACAATTTAAAGTTTACTATCAGTTTTTGTTTTTAAAAGTAGTTTTTTAACTGTTTATGGAATAAATGCTGATTCTCACACTTCAGAAACGTTCACAGGCCCCAGGGGCTTTGTTTTTATGCTGAGTTATTTGGTTTCCAGATATGACCTGCACCCCAGTCACGCTGTCACAGCTCCAGCCTGGACACCCTTCCCTGCCTGGTCCCAAGGGCTCTTACTGTCTCTAGTACCATTCTTGATCCTCAGGTCCTGACTGAGCTTCCACCCTGAACTCCGTCAGCTGAAGCTATTTCTTGTGATCTTCTTCATCTGACTGTCATGTGCTCCAGAGTTTCGAGCAACTAAAAATGCAGTTGACCATGTTAACCAACCAGACTCACGTCAGCAGCTCTAGCACGCCAGGTTTTAAAGGGTGGCAAACACTCACTGCAAAGATGTACGATTAAACAGGATGAAAACAATGCAGCTCTTTTCCTGAACTTTAAGGAAGGAGATGAAGTACAGGATAAAAGCAATATATTCCACCTAAGGGGATCATCATCCTGACCAAGTACAGTAAATTGTCAAAACATGGCTCAGGTATGCAGAGTGGGTGGGAATAGGTTGAATTAAGCAGAAATGATAACAAAGGAGGATTTAAATAAATGAATACCAAGTACTGATTTACTTGAAGAATGAGTATGGGAGAAAAATGGGTTCCAACTAGGGAGAACATAATTAAATTCTAGGGACAGAGGACACATGGAGAGAATAGTTTAGGATGAACTGGTCACCTACATAACCCTGAAACATATTCATTCCATGCACTGGTGAGGGAGGTAGCATTTGCTTTTACAGAAGAAATAGTTGTTTCCACCAAGAAGTTAGGACTTACTTTGATTTTAGAAGACAAAAAAGAATGAGAAAGCCTAATATCTTAGGAGTCAAAGGAAATAGGCTGACACCCAGCTTTATCCTTCAGTGCAGGGGTTTCCTGACCTAGTTTTGGCATCTAATTTTCCTAGAACTGTTATGCAAACCCAGCTGTTTATACATGTGAAACAGGCATTTATACAGGCATCCTTGCCTACCGCCCTACCCCCCAGTTTAGGGAAGACTCCTAGCTTTTATCAGATTTTTCAAAGCAGCCTATCATCCATGAAATGTTTAGCAACCCGTGGTTTAGATGCTGATTTGAACTGTCAGCCAAAGAGTGAAAAAGTCCCTTTACTGGGAAAGTAGGAGAGTACCTGGGCTGGCTAGGGACAAAGAGCACAGAACTAGTGAAACCACTCTCCAACTGTCAGAACTGGACTCAATTCAAAGGCAGACAGATCTGGGAAGCCTAGGAGAGGAGAAGGCTAAAAAGGCTAAAAAGCAAGTCTCAATTACTACAGAAGCAATAGGCTGATGCAACCAGAATAAATCCTAGGATGGCTCAGAAGCCTCAAGGTCTCTCTCTAAAGGTCCTCAATAGCATGAAGCTTTTTATCCCTTTCTGAAAAAAAAAAAAAAAATCTACATAAGACCAAATACAGAACAAAAGAAAAAGCAGAAATGAATTAATGGGTATCCCTTTTATACTTTTGTCAATTTTAGTTATTTTTATACTTGAAACAAGTTTTTTCTAACCTTGTCAGATGGTAGATGTCTGAATTTAAAGTCTTACATTTTATTACCGTTTTAGGCAATATTTTCACATCTTGGCACTTAAAATTACTGAAGGGATGGTTTAAGTGAAATATTATTATCCTTAGTGACTGAATTAAAGCATAAATTACAGATTTGCAAACTGTTGTTCATATAGGAATGAAAGAACATACGCATGTCACTATCATTTCTCACAGGCACTAGATTTACAGAAATGAAAAATTTGAACTTCTTTACTTAAAAAAGAAATCCGTCTTTGAAATAATGACATTATTTCAAATAAATAATAATGATATTATTTCAAATAAATGAAAAATGGCTCTTAACTTCACATATGGTGAACAAATCCTTCATGTCTTTCAAAATACATTTAAAATCCTTCTAATGTGATTCCCGAAGCTTCACAATCCCCCGCCAGTAACACTTTGGGGAAAATGTTTGACAAATCAATTACCTCACAGGAAGAGTCCGATCACCTTTCCTTCTGTCCATTTCTCTTTGGGGAACGGGATACCAGCGAAAGTTGAGCTTCCAGTTGAACCCGCCGTAGGTCATGTCAGAACCTGCCATGTACTCGAAAGTGTCATCACTGATCACATCTATGATGGGACAGACCACTGTCTTCCTAGAATCATAAAAGCAGATGAAAAATCTTTGAAAACTTTCCTTTTTGAGGTCTGTCATAACAACTACATAACAAGTACATACTAAATGTTTTTAAAATAAAAATGCATTCTATAATGTTAAAGACAGTGGTGAAAAAAATCCCCCACTCTATCCTACTGAGCTAGCATCATTTATCCTATTTATTTATAACCCATCGAAAATAACCTTCCACCCATTTTCCATTCAGACTTTTTACATTTTTTGCCACATGAAAAGTACTTCAAATATCTCTACAGTATAAAAAATAACACTTTTAATGACTACATATTTAACAGTTTTAAGCTAATAACTTTCTTAAAAAATAAACTTTCGGACATTTGTGTTTCTTATAGATTTTTGCTGTTAAGAAACTAAGGGATCATGTTCATATATATATTTTCACTTTTGCTTGAAGAGTAAACTTCTAGGAGTGAGACTAGTGAATTAAATAATTTTTTGTGGCACTGCTCATTACTGCTTTCCAAGAATGTTTTATATATATGTATATACAGCTTTCTTATAATGCCATCAACTTTGGATGCTATTTTCTTACAACTGTGTAATTATAATAATGTTAAATAGTATCTCTGGGTTTAAAAAATTTATCTTTTCTAATTATTAGAATGAGTACTTTTTATTTCAGTTTGTATTTCTTCATATAAATTGTCTGATCATACACACTAAATTTTTTTCCTTTTGGTTACTGCAATTTTTATGAGCCTGAAAAACCATACACTACCACAGCTCTTTCTAAGGAACACTGCCCCTTCTCAGAGCCCTTGGGAGCCACACTTTAGAGTATCCTCCCCATCCGACTGGTGTCTTATTTAAGAAATCTTTCCTTACTCCCAAATCATATTCTCCTATATTATCTTCAAAATGAATTATATTTTTGCCTTTCACATTTGTCTTTAGTCTTCATGAAACTGATTTTGGGTTTTCATGCAGCAAGTATACAACTTCGTTTATTTTCCTTATGGGTGACCAACTGTCCTAGTGCTCCTTATCTCACAGTCTCCTGTAATCCTAAAGGCCAGCTCTGTCATAATTCAAGTTTTCACATAAACATGGACTGGCTCTGTTTCATGAGTCTAATCCCTGCATCAATACATCACTGCCACAATTAAACAGCTTTAAAATAAGTCTTGATATCTAGTAGGACAGGCCCAGTTGTACTTGACTCTTCTTTTTCATGGGTATTTTAGCTATTTTTTTTTAAAAATATGTATTTCCATATAAATGTCAGCATCAGCCAGTTCCTCCAAGAAAATTCTGCTGAGATTTCAATTAAAAACACATTGAATTTATAGATCAATGTGGGGAGAAATGATATTTTTATATTGACTTTTCTATCCATTAACATTATCCTTCTCTCTGCTCAGATTATTTTCCAGTGAATTTCAACCATTTTCAATTTCATGCATCATTTGTTAAACATATTCCTAATCACAGCCTATGATTTCCATTGCTATTATAAATGGTATCATTTCTTTTCTTCTTTTTACATTATATTTTCTAACTATTCCTGCTGGTATGGAGAAAGCAACTGACTTTTCTATGGTGGTTTTATATTTGGCAACACTGCTAAATTCTTCTTATCTCTACTACTTTGTGTATAGATTACTTTTCTTTGTAAAAAACACATCATTTGCAATTGATAGCCCTCAGTTTTTTCCTTTCCAATTCTTACACCATTTATTTATTTCTTGTATTATTGCAAAATCTAAGGCTTCTAATAATACTGAGTAATAAGAATAATTCAGGGCATCCTTATCTTGTGCAAAACACTGTCAACATTTCTCTGTTATGTTTGCCAGTTAACATGTGTGTGTTTAGCTGTCCTTTCTAAAATTTGTAAATTTCCATTCTGTAATAGTTTACTAAGTATTTTAAACCATAAATCAATGCTCATCTTAATCATAAATGAACCTTTTTTTCCCTGTATCTACTAAAGTGATTATAGAGTTTTAATGACAGGGTTTTAATCACAGTTGCAGAAATATGTTAACATTGTCTACTTTGTGAATTGGTTTTGTAATATTAAATTAAACCAAGTAGTAATGATATGTTATATATACATATATATTGATATGTTATCAGTGGTCCCAGAGACTGGTTTCATGGAAGACAATTTTTCCATGAAAATGGAGTGGGAGAAGTGTGGGTTTGGGATGATTCAAGTGCATTACATTTATTGTGCACTTTATTTCTATTATTATTACATCAGATCTACCTCTGATCATCAGGCATTAGGTCCTGGAAGTTGGGGACCCCTGTGTTTTTTATACATGTTGATATGATATTAATAAATCCCAGTTGGACTCAGCTTGCTGGTGGTGTGAGATTTTCATATTAGGGTTCACCAGTGGGTTTGAATAATTTTCCATGTACTTCTTTTCTGATTTCTTATCAAGGTTATACTAGTCACATAAAACAAGTTGAACTGGTATCCTCTTTTTCTGTATCCTGCTTACAAATTCTTGAGAGAGATCTGTTTTCCCTCCTTCACCCCATATCAAGGTTGAAACAGCCAGGTTGCCTTTAGTGTGAAGAATTCACTTCTTATTCTGAACCAGAAGTACAAACAACAGAAGCCTAGCTTTATGCAGATATTTGCTATCTGTCTTCACACTGTAGGCAAGGCCCTGGCCTTGGCGCCTGTCCTGTTTGTCTTTCAAGGCAGAAGATCCATGTCCCATGAGTTCAGCAGGAAGCCCTGTGGGTGAAAGCTGGCTTTAGTGTCTGGACTACTTACTTGTACGCACTTCATTCTGAGAGCTGCACAGTTTTTTACTTTAGTGCCAACCTGGTGATGCACTTAAAAATGTGTTTTGTATTTATCCAGAATTTAGCTTTTTCAGTTGGAAAAGTTATTCAGGATACCTCATCTACCATACGGTCCAACTGGAAGTTGTTGTGGTTGTTATTTCAGGCAATTTCCCTTTCATATTTCTGTCATCACTTCACACTGCTTTCTCTAAAGGTCTAGGCTCCTGCTTCATAAAGGTTAGACTGTCTTTACACAAGAAAACACTTCCTGAATCAGTCATCTGTTACATACAGAAAAAAATTTACAGATAATCCTATGTCTTTTTCAGGAAGTGTTCTCCTTCCTAAAGCTACTGTATCTTCTCATTGCCCAGGCAATTCATCTTTGAAAGGGGAGAGATGTAGGTCCAGCATTTGCTTACAAACAGAATAGATGCAATGACAAGCTCCCACTAAACTCAACTTGGGGGCTTCCCAGGTGGCGCTAGTACTAAAGAACCCACCTGCCAGTGCAAGAGACATAAGAAACTTGGGTTCAATCCTTGGGTTGGGAAGGTCCCCTGGAGGAGGGCATAGCAACCCACTTCAGTATTCTTGCCTGGAGAATCCCATGGACAGAGGAGTCTGGCAGGTTACAGACCACAGGGTCACAAAGAATTGGACATGACTGAAGCAACTTAGCATGCATGCATGCTCAAGTTGACTAATAAGAGTTTACCCTGCTGAAATCTAAATCTTACTGTTAAGTTGACACAGCCAGCCTCTGGTTCAAACTGCAATGACAAGCAGAAATACAACAAACCTAGGTCCTGCAGAATGAAGTTAGTTAGGTTTTTTCCTGATATCTAGGAACTAAGCCAGAGCCCAGCAGTAGGCAATTCTTTGAAAACTGCATCATGAAAGACTACAACCATGAACTTGCACTGCTCCAATGTTCCACCTGTATTAGCCAAGATTACAGTGCTTATTTTCATATACAATCAAGCATTTCAGGGGCAACGTGTATCTCCTCACTCCCTTTAACTCTGTGCTACAGGCTGAGAGATGCAGCCTCAGTAAAGATGCAGACAGAGAGGAGATGACCTGCCCGCACCCTCGTATCAGCCTTAGAGAGCAGGGACAAGTACAGGGCTTTTTATCCTACCACACCTGAGATAACTGTCTATATGTTCTGCTCCTGTTCAGTGAAGAGAGCAGACAATAAACATCCTAACAACACGTTTCTTAACCCATCCTTACTAACAAGACAGTCTGCAAACAGTGCTTCCAGGCTTTAGAATGTGGTCTTCACATTTAGTCTAGAGCGCTCTTCATGGGGCTTCTCAGGTGGCTCAGTGGTAAACAATACACCTGCCAATGCAGGAGACGTGAGTTCGATCCCTGGGTCAGGAAGATCCCTTGGAGAAGGAAATGGGAACCCACTCCAGTATTCTTGCCTGGAAAATCCCATGCATAGAGGAGCCTGGTGGGCTACAGTCCATGGCGTCACAAGAGTTGGACACAACTCAGGAACTGAGCACGAGCACTCTTCATAGGTATTTAAAAGGAAAACTCAGATGAAAATATTTTTATATTTATTTTAAAACAGAATTTTGCAACTTACCATAGTTTAACACAAAGGCACTGAAAACAATTTATAAATCCCATAAAATTACCTGTCGTGTTTGATCCTGGCTAAGAGAGGTTCCAGCCATCCCACTGTGCACTCACAGTGTGCATCTAAAAAGGTGATTACTTGGCCTTTAGACACAGCAGCGCCTTTTAACCTAGCTCTGATCAATCCAGAACGCTGCTCCATTCGAATGACGTGAACAGGTACTTTTAATTTTTTCACGTAACTCTCTAGAGGTCTTTTTAAAAAGTCTGAAAAGGAATAAAACAAATTAAGAAAATAACACAAAAAACCTGTGAGCTGGCAGTGCCCAGGTGGAAAGCAACTTTGGATGGCAGCATTCATTTAACATGTATTTACTGAGCACTGTGAGTGAGGCTCCCTGCCTCACAAACCCAGCTCACCCAGGAAGGCTTTTTATTTCCTGAGAGAATGTGCCAGAACTGCCTCTCCTTTGTTAGAGGAATTAGGAGAGAGCCTCTGGGTCAGGCTCCGTCAAAGGCATGTTACTACATTTCTTGAAGGAGCTTTCTGTCAGGCTCAATTATCATTTTTTTTAATCACGCTTAAGGATCAGGAACAGAAAGAAGGTAGTTCAAGAGAATTAAACCCAGACCTCAATAGAGAGAAGGAACGAATACACAATAGCTGTTAAGAGTTCAGAAAACTGTGTGGTTTCTTCAAAGACAGAAGCGAATTGTCTTACAGACTGTCATAGTCTCTGACTATGCAGTTCTTGCAGGAGGTGGGGAGTGAGGTCAAGCTGTAAGAGAATGCTGGGCTGTAGCTGCAAGACCAAACAGAAACCTTAACAGTTTGGTCCAAGTAAAAGAGCTTTCAAGAGGGAAGGGCAACTAAAAAGAAAAAGAGAAAATCAGCAGCTATCCTGGAGAGTTCAGAGAAAGGCTGTGCCCTTAAGTCAAGGATTTCCTGCCTCCAGAGTACATAACTGAGTTTAAACAGCAAACAAGGGGGACTTCCCTGGTGGTCCAGTGGCTGAGACTTTGCACTCCCAATGCAGGGGGCCCAGCTTCAATCCCTGGTCAGGGAACTAGATCCCACAAGCTGCAACTAAGGATCCTGCATGCTGTAAGGGAGACTGAAGATCCCATGTGTAATGACTACAACCCGGTGCAGCCAAATAAATAAATTTTAAAAAGAAAAAAGCAGAAAAGTTTCCACTTCCTCAAGGCAAAGAGAAGTTGCAGATCAGGTTAGTTTCTGGTAGTTATGCCAGAGAAGCAATGGATGGTGGGCAAATGTCTTTCCAACTTGTCCCCATACAAGAAGTACAAGGACAATCTCTCCAGGGAAGGAAAATCTTGACATGGAGCTACCAGGATGCCTATGACTACCTCTGTCCCATGGGATCTCCATAAGGGTGGTTGGGTATATTAAGGGGGTAAATTCTAAATGTGGGAACCCAAAGGGCTTCCTACATACTGGAGAGGGAAAGACAAATAGGTGTGAAATGGTTCTTGTTCACTGGAAGTGGTAAGACCTGACTGATTCAACAATGGAATAATCAGGGCTATGAAAACAGTGAAAGAGAAAAAAGGCCTCTATGTCCACTACACCAGAACATCGATGATTTCCATGTCTGCTACACATTTTCTAAAATATCTGGGCTAAAAGGAGTATCTGAAAAATGTGGGGAGAACTCCTACCTGATAACCATGATTTTATGAACCAGAAAGCTATAATTTAATTCTGAGTAAAAAGGTGAGGGTGATGCCAATCCCGATGAAAAGCAACACTTTACCCTTTTATGTCTGTTTAGTATAATGCCAGGCTCTTTACAGACTTTATTTCATTTAATCCTCATAATGACCCTATGAGATGTTATTAAACCTATTTTAGATATGAAACTCTAAGGCTCAGAATATTAAATGAACTGATCAAGATGATACAGTTTATTAAGGGGTAGGTCCAACAGTTAAATCAGCTCTGCCTGACTTCAAGGCCCATCTTTTCACCCACAGCAAGAAATCCTACAAGGAAACAACCAAGGGAAAATTTTAGGACTGTGAACTTTTAAATTTTAAATTGCTTTATGTTCAGAGTTTGATAAATCTCATGTAATGAGGTATGAGTTATATTCTAGTACCTTAGACCAGTCAAGTGCAACTGTGTCACAACGCATCTCCCAGTAAGTCTTCCTTCCAGAATTAGACAGTTTGAAGTGCTTAAGAATCAAAGCAATCTAATCCCTGAGTCCTGTATCTTTGAAAGTTATGATACTCTGTCCTGTCTGTAATTAAAATGAAAAAATGCATGGTCTGGTAGCTCAAAAAAGTTGCTATTCAACAACTTTTCTTGGCATTTTATTTGACATCTTTGTGGCTCTCATGCAATATGGCTACAAAATAGGTGTCTTCCTAACAGCTGACAGAGAATTATGTGCTCAGGACTAGATGGGGGATTAGGAAATATTTATTCAAAACTCAGTTTTTGAAAATGAAGCCATGGGGGTTAATTGATTATGACTAGAAGATACATCGTCATCTAAAAATAAGGGAGAATCCTATTTATTAGATATATTTACAGCTATTAGTCTACAAACGGATCCCAAGGCATCTCTACCTCAGGCAGCACGAGGCTGGCAGAGTAAAGGTCAGGGAAAATTTCACTGCTCCCGGCAACAACTGAGATATCTTAGCCAGAACTCGAAAGAGCAAGGAATTTAGAGTGTAATATTAATAAACCTGACTTCTAATCCCTACTTAATAAGAACCTGTTTTCTTTTGTGTAAAATGGGAAAAACAATAATCATGTCAGATTAAGAACACTGTATCAATTCTAAGTCTTAAGATACCCTTTTGAGATGACAACTGCATAACTCTGAACATGAACTAGGGATTCATCCAGATTCCATCTTTATTACAGACCCTGTAACAGTAAAGTTATGACAGATGCGAAGTACATAGTAGTTAAGAGGTTAACCCCTAGGTTTATGGTTAAGTCTCATTTTGCTCTAACAATAAAATAGGGATAATTATAGCACCTAATTCATACTTAATAAATGGAGCTACTGATGTCTCAGCAGGTTAACCGTGAAATCCAGTACCCTGAGGCCATGAGCAGACTACACATGCTACACAACCTAGTTAGGAACTCTATGCAGACAAGGAGGAAAACACAAGGATTAACTGACTGTGATTACTCTTTCCTTCATTCACTGAATATATTATGGACTGCTTACTATGTAACAGGCACTGTGGGCACTGGGGAGAAAATGGAGAGCAGACAGTCCTTCCTGATGGAGTTACAGTGCCTGCCTTGGGCCGGGGGGGGGGGGGTGGTGGTGTATAAAACGGTAAAGCTCTGGGGGTGCTGTGGAGTATACAGTGTTGTGAGAGGTGTTCAGTGGGACATGACCTGGTCTTGGGAGGTCAAGGAAGGCCTCTCTAAATGTAACTTGACTCTGATGAAACATCTGAGCTGAACTGTGGGGACAGGGTGGGCAGGGAATTACAAGATGAGACTGGAGATGCAGGCAAAGACCAGGTCATGCAGGCCTTAGAGGAAAGTTGTTTGCTTGTTTTTAATTGAAGTCTAGTTGTAGGCCTCAGAGGAATGCTTTTTTTTACGTATAGTTGATTTACAATGTTTTCAGGTGTACAGCAATGTGATTCAGTTATATATATGTTATTTTTCAGATTTTTTTCAATTGTAGGTTATTGTAGGATACTGATATAGTTCCCTGTGTTATATAGTAGGTCTTTGTTTCGAGGAAACATTTTCATGAGAGAAGTGATGTGGTCTGGTCTGCATGTTTAAAAGCCTCCTTCAGGGAGACAGTGTTTATGGGGAGACTAGTCTATTCCATCAGCCAGGTGAGAATTAATGGTGCCTTGGCTGGGCCTCATGAGCAGGAAGGGGTAGACTTAGAGAGCTGGCTCTGGTTCCTGGGCCCATAGCTACCACCCAAACAAGAAGGTCAGACCGTTCTCAGTCTGGGCAGCAAGACTACAGCTATGACCACAACAGCACAACGCCCAGTGGTGCCCAAATATCAGAAGTGGCAATCAGAAGCCCTGAGGCTTTCCAGGCAAGAAGATACAGAAGAACCAAGTTCTTTGTGAGGGCTGTGCAGTGACACTCAGAGGCCTGCTTGGTGACTAAGAGCCCAGTAGCGCAGGGAGGCAGACACCTGCCCACACGTTTCCAACTACAGGCTTACACAGGCCACGGCGATTCGGAAGGGCCCACATGAGGGAGGAAAAAATAACTGGGATACGTGACTTTCTTTGCCACTTCATGTTGTGGACACATGGATCTTTCTGATTAGGCTACATCCCACAAAAACTTACTATTTCACACAGCCTTCTCAGGCCTGCAACAAAATGATGGAGAAAACAGGGGGAAATGTAAAAACAAATCATTTCATCTGAGGAAAAATATCTCTCCTTGAGGAACATTTAATTTCACAAGTTTCAACATACAAGTAAGTCATTCAGAGGACAGAGATGTTTTTATATATCGCTGCAAAATTAACTTTGGTTAATTTTCTAAAAGAGGGATTAATTAATTCCTAGCTAACAATTATTCAGGTGAAATTTATGTCTACTGTCAATAGTATTTAAGTGTGGTATTCTTAATTTAAAACAGCTCTCATCCATTTTGACATTAATTATAGTATATATTATTATTAAATGTTTTATGCAATTATAAACTATAAACTATCTCCTTGATTAGATTAAGGAAGTAAGCTACAAGGCCCTTGAGACAGCAAGGCTGTAACTTATTTATTTTTACCTCTACAATCTGGCAAAGCAAGAAGATTTAAATTGTTATCAATGTGCAAATTAATCCCAATAGTTGATAGGAAGTAACTAAATTTCATCATGCTTAAATGTATATGTTTAGTGTGGGCACACGGAGAAGACAATGGCACCCCACTCCAGTGTTCTTGCCTGGAAAATCCCATGGATGGGGGAGCCTGGTAGGCTGTGGTCCATGGGGTCGCTGGGAGTTGGACACGACTGAGCAACTTCACTTTCATGCACTGGAGAGGGAAATGGCAACCCACTCCAGTGTTCTTGCCTGGAGAATCCCAGGGACGGGCGAGCCTGATGGGCTGCCGTCTATGGGGTCGCACAGAGTTGGACACGACTGAAGTGACTTAGTAGCAGTGTGGGCACAGGAAGGAGAAGGTATAATACTTGACTAAACTATCTTAGCATATGCAATAAGAGATTAGGTGAGAAAGGTGAAGATAACAACAAAAAAAGGTTTAAAACATGAGTCATGAAGTTTCAAGCTGCTTAAGGAAGGAAAAGTCATTTTCTGTAGTTTCCTCCAAATTTTTCTCATGTGAATATAGGAATATTGGGGAAAGCACATGACCTAATGATCCTAAACAGCTGCGCTGTGAAAAACAAAAAAGCCCGTGAAAAATTCTGAGATTTGTGGAAGAATGTCTGGGCCAGAGCCATTGCAGAGACTCATCATGAGATCAGAGACATACTATACACCACTTTCCCACAAGTCCCTTCATCACCCTTTTGTGGACCATGCCTGACCTTGGGGATGGAGAAAACGGGAAGGCCTCGGGAGAACCTGGAGAACTGGGACTCGCCCAGCTGAGGCTCTGCTCTGCCAGCGGGATGCTTCCCACTGTCCCTGCACTAAATCTCTCTTCATGGCTCCAAATCAGAGCCAGTCTTTCTCCACCGGCTCCGGGCTGAGCTTCCCACAGAGAAAATCCCGACAAAATTAAGTGTTCTTTTTTTTCCCTCCCCCACTGTTTTGCATAAATTTTTTACACAGTTATCTCTTTTTAAAACAAGATTAAGATGTGATACAACTAAATGCTAATTAAAGTAATATTTTAAGTTTCACAAGGGTGTAAATTGTTTGCATATGTGAATGAGACCAAATGTCATAAATAACTTTTAGGATAAATTAGAAGCTTGTATAAAATTATTAGGTTAAACTGACAGCAGCTATCACTGATAGCAGCTAGTTTTATAAGCACTAATGACAAAAGGTGTAGTGTATTATTGGCATTAAATGTAAAATTTACCTCTTTCACTGGCATCATCTACTAGAACAATTTCTTCTAGCATGTGTCTTGGTGAGCGATTAATGACACTATGGACAGTTCGCAGAAGTGTGCTCCAAGCCTCATTGTGGAAAACAATCACCACACTGGTTGTAGGAAGGTTATCTGGATACACCTTTGTTTTACACCTGAAAACAAAGCAAACACCTTTGTAAAACTCTTACGACAGCAAAATCAAGTAACCCAGACTAGGAGGGGTGACAGAGGAATAAAGGCAGTTGGTTCTAGTGGTGCAACTCTCAGTAACTTCTCATTTATTTAGGTTCTGGTTAATGTTGCATTTAATAAAACAGTACCTAAAGTTATATATGCTTAGACTGAAGCTATTTTAAAGATGTCAGTCATATTCTTAAAATCAGGCACCTCTCATGTCTTCTGTTGATTCTTTTTAATGGAGAATGTACCAAGGCCATATCACTAATCCCAAAGTGAACAGGTCTCAAGAATCCCATTAGACAAAAAATCAGAACCACTACAGTCTAACAGTTGAATAATCTAAACAAAAGATTCCCTTCCACAAAGGAAGTGAACTAATATTTACTGAGTATCTACTAGGTACTAGGCACTGAAGCTTCCTAATATTTTTGTGAGGTACCTGGAGCCACAATTCACAGATGAGAAGCCAAGGACAGACCCAGGGAGGGAGTGGCAAGGCCTGACTGTGACTTTCACAATCTTGATGCTGCTGCTCCACTATGCACTTTCAGCACACATCTTGTTCAGTACAGACTGTGTCTAGAGATGTAGTCATCAGAAAAGACCAAACACACTCAAAATATCTGCACACAGAATCAATAAACTAGTTCTACATGGTCTCATCTTTCACCCTTGTGAGCTAGATGAAACCACTAGAAACAGACTACCCAAGGGTGACAGCAGGACTAAGTAACCAGACATCAAGGCATGTGTTTCAGGACATTCTAACATTGCTTAATTGAATCATTTTAAGTCATAAGTCATCTTGTTTCACAAGCTAATCCTACTTATGAGTACTGGGAAACAGAATACAGCCATGGTGACTAGAAAGCTAGCTTACAGAAACAACAAAAAGAACAAAATCCAGTGAGACTCAGATGACAATGAGGTCAATCTGCCATGTACAACAGTACTGCCAGCTGGGGAGCCAGCTGGGTGCACAACCTGGAAGCCAACAGGAAGATGGTGGAGAACTCGGAGGGGCCGGCTCTGCAGGTCAGATTTACTACTAGGACGACAGGTTAAGGAATTACATTCTGAAGCTGTATGGAAAGGAAGTCAGGCTACGGAACACTGGAAATAAAGAAGACTAAAACGGAAATCATTCACAGAAGGATGGAAGAAGCAGAAAGCAGAGTGAGTATCAGGACCCAGAAGAACAGATGACAAAAAGGATAACAATTTCCTAAATCAAACAACTGAATTTAATCATTCAGAGAAATACAAACTCACAAACATTCTCCCAGGACTTCCCTGGTGTTACAGTGGGTAAGAAGCCGCCTGCCAATGCAGGGGACATGGGTCTCATCCCTGGTCTGGAAGATTCCACATGCTGCGGAGCAACTAAACCCATGTGCCACAACTACTGAGCCCATGCTCTAGGGCCCGTGACCACAACTGCTGAACCTACGTGCTGCAGCTACTGAAATCTATGCACCCAGAACCTGTGCTCTGCAACAAGAGGGGCCACCGCAGTGAAAAGTCTGCACTGCAGGCAGACTGCAGTGAAGAGTAGCCTCGCTCATCACAACTAGAGAAAGCCCTCATGCAGCAGTGAAGACCCCATGCATAATAAGTAAGTAATAAATGCACAGTAAGGAAGTAATAAGACCCCAAAATAATAAAATAATAAAAGTTATATTTAAAAAAAACCCACACGATTTCATTAAAAACAAAACAGAAAACAGAGAAAATATGGGAAAATCTTTATAAGTGATCACAAACATGTAAACACACACACACACACACACACACACACACACACATACTCCCCTCTACCTGGAAAAGCCATAAAGCACCCAAGGAGAACCAGAGAGGCTTTCAACATTCCAGCTAAGCTTCTCCCCTGAAGGGGCCACCTGTCCTTGTGGGGCTGGAGGGAAGGTAACCCTTTGGAGGAAGGCGACATCGAGCTAAGGATAACCACAGGCTGTGTTATGAAGCCGTTTTCTTCCACTGTGTCCCAACTGAGCCTTTCATCCTTAGGGATCAAAATTCGCAAGTGGAAGGCTATGCTACTTTAAAAACAAACAAAACAAAAATAAAAAATAAAAACAAACACAACAGGAAGACCACACACACAGACTTAACAACAGGGAATGGGTTAGGAAGAGAGGGAAAAGAAGAGTCTTAACTTTTTACTGAAATATATACACAAGTTGACAACTGTAAGTATACAGTTCAATGGGTTTCTACAAAGTGAATGCATCAAGGAGTCAGCACCGAGAAGAAGAAACGGACCATTACCAACTCCACGGAGGCTCCCACTGCACCCGTTCCCAAGGGGACCACTCCTCTGGACCGCTAGCATTACAGATGAATTTCGTCTTTTTAACAACTTTATTTAAAAGGAATAATACAGAGCAGTGGTTCTCAGGGCTTCCCGGGTGGGCTAATGGTAAAGAACACTCCTGCCAATGCAGGAGATGCAAGAGATGTGGGTTGAATCCCTGGGTCGGGAAGATCCCCTGGAGGAGGGCATGGCAACCCACTCCAGTATTCTTGCCTGGAGAATCTCATAGACAGAGGAGCCTGGGCGGGGGGGTAACAGTTCATGGGGTTGCAAAGAGTTGGACATGACTGAAGTGACTTAGTACACACATAAGATATGGGAGCAACCTAAGTGTCTATGAATAGATGAATGGATAAAGAATATATATAATGGAATATTATTCAGCCATAAAAGAGTGAAATAATACCATGTGCACCAACATGGATGGACCCAGAGATTATCATTGAGTGCTAAGTTGCTTCAGTCACGTCTGACTCTTTGTGACCCTATGGACTACAGCCCACCCAGCTCCTGTGTCCATGAGATTCTCCAGGCAAGAATATTGGAGTGGGTTGCCATGCCTTCCTCCAGGGAATCTTCTGACCTAGGGATAGAACCAGTGTCTCTTATGTCTCCTGCATTAGGAGGCAGGTCTCTACCACTAGCACCACCTGGGAAGTTGAGAGGTTATCATACTAAATGAAATAAGTCATAAAGAGAAAAACAAATACTCTATGATATCACTTATAAGTGGAATCTAAAATATGATACAGATGAATGTGTCTGCAAAATAAAAACAGACTCACAAAATAAACCAAATAAATACCAAAGAGCAAAGGGGGTGAGAGGGGGGTGTATTAGAAGTTTGGGATTAGCATATACAAACTACTATATATAAAACAAACAAACAACAAGGTCCTACTGTATACCACAGGGAACTATATTCAATGTCTTGTAATAAACCATAATGAAAAAGAATATAATTTATATAAAACTGAATCACTTTGCTATACAACTGAAACTAACACAACACTGTAAATCAACTATACTTCAATAAAATAAAATTTAAAAAGAGCCATTTTCATATGGGTCTATTTCTGAGCTTTCTATCTTATACCACTAATCTATACATCTCTTTTTGCCAACATCATACTGGATTACTGCAGCTTTATAGAAAGTCTTTGAATTGGGTAATGTATTTCCTCCAAATTTATTCATCATTTTCAAATTTATTTTAGTTATTCTATTTCTTTTGCCTTTTCAAATAAAAATTTAAATCCCTTGCTCAGATTCTGAATGGAATTTTACCGAACATCTATTGAGGGAGAATTGACATCTTTTTTTGATGGGCTACTATGGATCTATTTTTAAAAAAATTTTTATTTTTAATTGGAGGATGACTGTTTTACAGTGCTGTGTTGCTTTCTGCCATACAATAGTGTGAATCAGCCACAAGTATACATATGTCCCCTCCCTCCTATCCCCCACCCCATCCCACCTCTCTAGGCTGTCACAGAGCACTGGGTGAGCTTTCCGTGTTCTACATCAACCTCCCACTAGCTATCTGTTTTACATATGGTAATGTACATGTTTCAGTGTTACTCTCTCTGTTTCCTCCCACTCTCTCCTTCCCCTGCGGTATCCACCAGTCTCTGAGTCTGTGTCCTACGTGTCTGTGTATTCCTGTCCTGCAAATTAGTTCATCAGTACCATTTTTCTAGATTCCATATATATGCATTAATATATGATATTTTCCATGCTGACTTACTTCACTCTGTGTAACAGGCTGCAGGTTCATCTACCTCACTAGAACTAACTCAGATTTATCCCTTTTTATGCCTGAGTAATATTCCATTGTACATACGTACCACAACTTTCATCCATTCATCTGTCAATGGACATCTAGGTTGCTTCCATGTCCTGACTATTGTAAACGGTGTTTCAGTGAACACTGGGGTACATGTGTCTTTTTGAATTATGCTTTTCTCAAGGTAGGTGCCAAGTAGTGGGACTGCTGGGCCATATGGTAATTTTATTCCTAGTTTTCTAAGGAATCCCTGTACTGGAGAACTGACATCTTTTGAGTCTTCCAACATAGCTAGAAAGTGAGGCTTTAGTTTCCTCTCTCTGCTGCATATTTCCCAAGACTGTATCTGTGTTTCGGGTCAAACTGTGGGAGACAGAAAAAGAAAAGCAACGGGAATTCAACACATGCTCTGAAGACAAGAGTTCTTCTAATCAAAGAGATTCTTTCCCTTCCTCAGATGTTTAGTTGCTTCCCTGGCCAGCGCTCTCATGGCTGTGTGCCCTGACAGTATTGCCTAGGGGCTGAGAGTATAGGGAAGATAAAAAAAAAAAGCGATCCTTAAGAGACCCTCTTTTGTATCTCAGACCAGAGAGGGCTACTTCTTGGGCTCTCTTCCTGTACCCACAGTGCACTTGAGTTTTGGATTAGTACAATTTTGAGAAGAAGTGGAGAGCAGGCATCCTTTGTTTGATTCTGACCTTAGCAGGGAGAAGTCCAGTCTTGTTCCATAAAGTGTGATGTGACATTAGAAGCACAATCCGTAAAAGAAACAACTGATAAATATGATTTCATTAAAATTAAATTTTTCTGTGCCAATGAGCACATTCTGTACCTGAAGGTACCATTAAGCCATT